GCCTAAAACATTGGAAGTACAGGATGAGAAAGAGTCTGCGTTACGTGTGTGACACAGAAAATGGGTCAATCGCTTCATTTAATTTACATTCCAAAAGTTCTGTGATTTGAACAAAGATTATGACACTTTGGCTTCATCAACTTTAGCAATAGTTATTCCTGTTTGCATTAATTAAAACTTTAATAAAAATACCATGCTCATTTGCATACTACAACCTCATTTGCATGCCTTACGTGTGTGACGCCTTTGTTACGTGTGTGACCGGGTGCAAATCCTGCAATGCTTAAGTCCTTTTCATTTAAATAAAATCATATCTCTGGCTATTGTAGGTCCTTGTAAGTAAGCATGCAGGTGTTTAACATACATCCTTTGCACTAGCCAATGTTTATGATCAGAATATTGGGTTTGGCAGTATTAATATGGTGGACAGAAGTGAACAACATAAACATTTCACAGGTTAGTTTTAGTCACCTTCAAATTGGAATTGTAAACGGCAAGCTTTCTGTCTGAGTGAACGTTCTGACTGTAAAATAAGCAGTTCCTTTAATGAGTAAGTGTGCTTGCTGATGCGGCTTTGTAGAAAAATAGACGAAACTCTGAACTTTATCATGGAGAAAAGGCATGCTTTTGGTTTGGAGAGGGTACTGGTGACCATTGATGTCCAGCTGCGCTTATATTGATAAACTCTTGCTAAATTAAACCAGAAAATCATTCATTCGTATTGAATTTCATGCATCAAAAGTTGATTTGTGTTAAAAATATGATTATTTTATGATTTGACAGTGTGCCATTTTGAGGGCTGCGTGTGCCACCTAGAGAGCCGTCTCATTTGGCTTCCTCTTTCGAAGCCAAATAAGAATTTATGCTTAGATGAAGCATACTTGTGGTCTCAGAGTTAAAGATCCCAAAAATGTATTGTTTTAACCCCCAGCCATTTTTCAGTCCTCTGTTTTTTTTTTTAAAATCATTTCAGTGCAGAATTTTCATGAAGGTTTTTTATGTTTGCAGCCCCGTTTCTCCACCACAGTGTTTCCCAGGCCTCTCCTGGCGTACCCCTTGTCCTGCATGCTTGAGATCTCTCCCTGCTCCAGCACAGGTGATTCAAATGATCAGGTCCTAATTAATCCAAGAAGCTGCTTCATAATAAGCAAATCATTTGAATCACCTGGGCGGGAGCAGGGAGAGATCTAAAACATGCAGGACAAGGGGTACGCCAGGAGAGGCCTGGGAAACACTGCTCTACCAAAATCATGAAAATAAACTGTAATACAATGGAATACTAAATGCTGCAAGTGTATTATCTTAGTTGAGCCATATTCCCCCTCTCTTTGAAGTTTAAATTTGGAATTATAAAGCATTAAATACGGTAACACATAATTAAATAGCCATATTTGGCTTCTGCGCAAAGGGGTTAATTTAATCCAACTAACAGCATTTTCACTTTACTTTCTGAACATTACATATTCCATGATATCACATCTAAATTCTTTCCTGCTTTGAACATGGGTATACACATCATAGTTGCAAAAATCTGGCAAAATATTTAGGTCAAATGATGGGGTGGCTGACCTTCATTTTGAAAGCTTTAGTCGTCGTGACAGAAGTGTGAACTAAACCCTTGTTCGTGTAAATATAAAGGAAACAGGTCATTAATGTCCTGTCATAGCATAGGCTTTGCACTTTGGTCACACATGTAACTCAAATGTCATACACGTAACGCCGCGTTACGTGTGTGACAGGTACATTTTTGGCTACAAAACAGATTCTATTCGTGGGACTGAGGAAGTTATGCCCTCCAAGCATGGAAGGTATGGTATTAATTTATAATCTCAGGTTTTTCAAATTTTCCCTTGGATTTTTTAATTTTATAAAAACTTTGGTTGCTATGCTTTACGTGTGTGACGTTATTCACCACCATATATTTTGACCCCCTTAAAGAGGGCAACTTTTAAGTCTGCAGGGACTTTTGCTGCAAAAGTTGAAAAATAACAACCTCAACATTCAATTATTTCTGCTGCTGAGTTTGACGCTCATCTAAATCACAAAAAGATGACCTTAATTTCAAGAATGACCCATATCTCAAAAAATTGTGAAAAACTAAAGGACTTTAAAGTTGGGAAATTTTGCCCCAAAATACAATTTTTCTGAAATTGGCATTTGCCATCCTAAACTAGAATAATAGCAGTTAGAAACACATGCACTCGTTATTTGATGGAGCTTATTTGAAAATTTGCCCTTCCAGGCTCATATTTCAGAGAATGGCCCTTGTAATAATTGCTATGTTTATGCAGTTGTTAAAATTGAATTTATTCATACATTTATTTTGGCTCTAACATGAAGTGATTCCAGTTTGCCTGCTTGGTGAACACTCCATGACATTTCTTCGTGCTAGCCACTCAGTGAATTTAGTACCCATCTGTCAAAGTATTTCATATAAGCATTTTCCCTTTGGTGCCTCCCCCCAACATTAGATTCTATCTGGTCACATGACCCCTCAGGGTGAAAGACGGTATTGGGGGAGGATACAGCAAATCATTGCCCTTGTGCTCCAGTCACCTTGGTTCAGTCATGGGTGGGGAGGGTGGCATTTTAGGTGCGGCTCCAGTGGAATGCACAGCTCTGCGAACAAATGTGCAAGCGTTGTCACTAAAATATTTTCGAAGAAGCTCCCCAGTCGAATGCTAGCGCACATTAACGCATACCAGTTCGTAGATATGCGCTAAAATTGTTTCCAGTTTGCGTGCACCGATTGTCAGCAGGAAATGCTCCTGAGGAAGGCGCACTGTAATGCCCTGACACACTGGCTGACATGGGGTTGCAAAGCAGACACAAAAGCCAGGAACTTTGTTTATTCTCCTATTTGGGGACAGAACGGAGGATTTGGGATAGGGTGGGGCAGGAAAGGGGCAGCTGGCCGCCTTCTGTGTCTCCCAGGGTGCCCCAGGAGAAGCTAGCAACAGGATCAGCTGTTCAGTTTGATGCATGAACTCATAACGTTCACATTAAATGCCGCTTGTATCTGGAATTTCTCTGGCTGATGAGCTGACTCATTATCGCCAGAGAAATGATGGCAACAGTTTCCAGATTGAAAAGGCAATCCAGCCAGACTAAGCCATAGCAAAGATGGGCGTACAATAGAATGAATTCCATGGCCATGAATGCTGTGAATTTAAGTTGCGCAGCTGTGAGAGGGAATTCCCCTGTCTCTGCACCCTGCTATTGAAACAAAGACACTTTCACTTTTTTTGTACGCTGGTCGCCAGCGAGTAGGTCAAAGTTTAGAAAGTATTTTCACTGTGGTCCTGCCTGCGCCCACGCAAATGCCTGTGTCACCTGACCGAGGCCTGTTCTCCAAATATCTGTCTTCATGGAATGTAATCTGATATAGTGCATTGGCATATCCCACCCAATGCACTGGTCTTTTCAGCTTGTGCCCGTACCTTCACAAATGCAATAGAAGTTGCGGCTTACAACTTCACTTTCATCTCATTTATTGTTGTTGTATTTTTCAGGAAGCTATTTATCCACTCAGAAGCTATTTATCCACTCAGCTTCATTAAATTTATGGCTGTATGGAAAATTTGTAAGCTGTGTAATTCACCATTTGTAATGGCTGTCACTGAGCAAATAAGGGAAGAATATACACACTTCAGTTTGAACTTGTCTGGTATTATAGACTCAGCTGAACTTTTAGGATGCCCTGATGCTGAAAGTGACACTCATCAGTTTCACTTGTTTTGTTGGCTTCTGTGCCCCACTCTCCTTGGCCATGAGCATGCATTCTGAAACAAAATCTGTGTGACCCTTGTGCTTTTCGGTCTGTCGGTGTTGATGAAGATCAAATGTAATTGATCTTTAGATGGGAGTCAGGAGGCTTCCGCGTGTGTCCGACCTCCAAACAGTGCCCCTCTAGTAGCTACCTGTGGTCCTAGAGTGCCAATGCTCCCTCTAGCAACCACAGTTTATTGCGTACTGTGATTGAATGAAACAAGCAGTAGAAGTTAGTAGTGGTGGGGAGGGGATTGTGGGGGTCGTAGTCCCATTGTCGCATCCGATTAACCACCCGGCACTTTGCTCATTAGTGGCCCACATTCCGCCACTGCGAGCAGAGATCAGTTCTTGTGGTCGCCACCCCCCGCTGGCTATCTGTCGCTCTCAGTCCTGCCTCCCTCCTCTCCTCCTTACTCCCCTCACGCTTCCTGTGTGTCTCTGCATTTCTCCCTTTTGCCGTCTTTCATCTCTCCCTCTGTTACTATCCTTTTCTCTGTCTTCTTTTACCTCTATTTTTATTGGATTTGCGCCCCCCTCCTTTCGGTAGATGTGTCGAGTGGCAACGAGGATGAGGGTCTTTGTCTCATGCTCTGAGGGAGCTTAAGAGTCTCAAAATAGGTATTGTGACATGATTGCTCCAAGGATCCAAGTTATGTGGTATACAGGTCTATTTCTCCCCAAAGGTCTTTGTAACTCCACTATTTTATTGGGATGTAGGTAACTGTCTTATAAAAAAGGACTTTCCCCCTATCATTGTAAAATTATATACAATTTGCAGCCGAGAAATCATAGTAAAGGCCTCTAACTATAGTAGGATACGGATGTCGTATTGTTAATACTAGCTCAGTTATCAAACCAAACGGTCTTTGTTGTGTATCTTTCATAGTAATGACCTCTGTTACAAAAAGGCCTCTAATTTCATTTTGAAGGCGAAGCTCATGGGAGCTCTATTTACAGTTGGCTTACAGAGCAGCATGTGTGCCCTGCTGTCATGGCTCAGGTGTCCGCTATGCTCTGCTTTGTCCCTCTGCTCAAAGCATTTGGATTTTGCCCAGAACCACTTTGCGGTCTGGGTACTCTGTGATATCTAGTCTACTTGCTAAATTTTTTTTTTTTTTTTTTTTTTTTTAAAGATTTTTTTTTGGAGATTTTCTCTTTTATTTTTGATAGTGACACAGTAGAGAGAGACAGGAAAGTTGGGGAGAAGAACGGGGAAGACATGCAGCAAATGACCCGAGCCGGAATCGAACCGGGTCACCGCAGGAAGGCCACAGCCTTTATGGTGCGCGTGCTTAGACCGATGAGCCACCGGGGCGCCCCCACTTGCTAAATTTTTACGAAAATGCTGAACATTCTGGCTAATGTCTTAATTGTTTTTAAGCGCAAACTGTATAAAATTTATTTTATATTTATAGTTTATGTTATTTTAAATTTATTTTATTTTTAAACTTGGAAAGCACTTTGTGGCTTTTGTCTGTGAAAAGCGCTTTATAAATAAAGCTTCTTCTTCTTCTAAAAAAAATTAAGCATGAATGTTATCAAAATGTTGTATAGGCCCCAAACATCTCCTTTGGCTGTGTCGTGTTCTAAATGTGATGGTTGCAAGCTTGTGTTTACAAGCTGTTGTGCTAATCTGGGTCAGATGGGCCTGTGAGGAAGGCTTAAATTACGTAAGGTTTCTGTGCATTATTTTGCTTAACATAATGGCAATCGCAGTCAGAATCGATCTGCATCAAGAAGGTGGTTCCATAAATGTGGTGGTGTTTGCAACAATGAGCTTACAGCAGAGCAGCGTTGCATTGACCTGGAATTCTTTAAATGGCTTAAAAAAATGTCTCAAAACACCTGAAACCAGGGTTGAAAATTAGCTCTCGCCAAATGCTGGTAAAACATGCGAGTGGCTTGTATATTTGCTTCACTCACCAGCCAAAAAAAAATGAAAATCTATTGAGTAGCTGGTGACATTTTAACATTTACTAGCCATTTGGCTAGTGGACCAAAAAGTTCATTTTGCATCCTGCCTGAACCTGCTATGACCTCGGAGTTTGTTGCTAGGCAGTTACACTGACGATGTGGGGTACAGCTGTTGACTTTGCGACAGCACCTAATTTGGGTAATGTTAACGTTTGCTGTTTTTGCTAGCTCCCTTTGCAAAGTTCATGGCCAGGGCAAATGATGAGTTTACAGTCAGAAGGTCTGCAAATCCTAAATCTGTTTCTATTCTCACAATGATGTGACTGATCACCATGTATAGAATTAAGAAATGACTTTAGCCTCTGTAAGCTAAAGCAACGTTGTGAATTCAGTGACTACATTATGCAAAATTGCATTCCTCAAAAAACTTGCCCCTCAGTTTCTTGCGTTATATTTTGCTTGCCTTCTAGCCCTGTTTGTTAGGGATGGTAAGAAGTGAGTAGTTATGGTAAAATAGTAAAAAGTTAAATGTATACAGTATGCTAATTGTGATGTGAATTGTGCTAATCTGGACTCTCTCCTGCCCCCTGTCCCCATCTCTCTTGTGTCTGTTGTCGGCTGATTGGGGTTTTCTGTCTCCGTCTTCCTCTCGCTGCTCGCTCACGTCCAGAAAACAGCCCAAGGTGAGTTGCTGCATCATGCCTATTCATTGTGTGTGAGTGTGTGCGTGCGCGCATGCGCACGCGTGATTTTTTTCATGGGGTGCGGCCCAGAATGACCTTCAAAATTGTGCCAGGAGAATAAAAAAAAGTAGGTCACTGCATGTTATTTCACTGTTTATGAATACTTATAAAAAGTAAATAATCTCTGAACTGCATGTGGTGGCCCGGTAGTCATTTCTCTGCAAAAAAATGTATTCATAATGACTGCAATTAAGTAATGCATCATAAGTGGTGTTACTATTCTAAGGGTTCATTGTGTAACTTTTGAGATGCGTTCAAATTGTTTACTTTCATTGTGCTGCAGTTTTTAGGTCACTGCCTCAAGTGTTTCTGAATGTCTTTTGATCGTGAATTAAGAATTCTTAATAGTCAGTGAAGTCGGATGTAAGTTGAATTTACGGTTTAGAAGTTATTTAATCATGAGTATTGCTTTTTTAAATAAATGTGAAATTGTTTGGAGAGTACTGGGCTGTGTGGGCACAAATTGTATTTTTCTCAGAGTTCTCTCTGTGTTTTAGACCTTCTTAAAGGTTCCCTATCATATCACCGGGTGCACAGCCAATTAGCCTAAACAAGCCATTTTGAAATCTATTCCTTTATGATATCACACGGGGAAGTGATTTCCCAGAGGCAAGAAGAACTGATTAACATCTGCCAACCAGTTAGTTGGTTCCTTAATTATTCTTGGTGGTCCTTCCCCTTGTGATGTCACAAAGGATTGCTTTTGAAATGGCTTGCAGTGACTAATTGACTGTGCACCTGGTGATACGACAGGGGACCTTTTAATTATTGAAACAGTGGTGCAAAGTCAAGTTTGTATATTTATATAACGGTCTGTCCATATAATTTATATTCATTTTGAATTTGTGGACACTTGTGAATGTGTTCAGAGCTACATTGCTGCTGTTCTTTTTGATAATTATTAAGCACCAAAGGACTCATCATTATCATGAACTCTGTGAAAGGGCAAACATTTGCTGATCGTTGTGCTTCCCTGTCCTCTGTGAACAGTGTTGTGGTGCTTTGACATCTCATGTGGTCAGAGCTAAATCAGGCCACAAGATTCTTGAAAATATTTCTCTATTTCATCATGGTTCATTCAAGCTATTATGAAAAACTCACTTTTACAGTCTTTGTGCACATACATTTTGGTATTCGGAGTGCCTACCAACCCTCTATCTGTGAAATAAGACATCAGAGTTAGTTTTGTGTGTGCTGCTTTGTCATAAAACATGGTGTTCGGCTGCCATTCAGATTTTGCTGCCCTTTCTACGTCACGTGCCGGCTTATGAGAATTTTTCCGTCCCTTATCAGAATATCTCCACCTGCAGCTCATATTTTTACGATGCCATCCGCAGCTTCAGTCAGGCCAATCAGAACAGAGCTCATTCCACAGAGGGGATGTCCACTCTGAACAGCCTGTTTTTCAGAGGGTTAGAAATGACAGGAATCAAATTGCCCAAAATCACAGAAGTTTTGTTTAATGTTTTTGTTTTGTTTTTTTGCTAAAAAGTTTATGAACTTCACCTCTGGACATCCCAATAGTAATATAAGCTGGGGGGAGGAACATTGAATAGGTCCCTTTTAATAACAAATGACAAATGCCCCCATCTAGAATGCTTAAACTGTGTGCGTATAACCCTGTATTAAGAGTTTATTGCCATTTCATATTGTGGATTTTGTGTGTGATTTTATTCAGGATAAATACTATAATGACACAGGCCACTTGCTTCTCCACCACCCATTACAAAATGCAGAGCACGTCCATGTGCATTTTTGTGTGTATGATGTCGGCTGACATTTCTTGTTACATTGACTGGCCTGAGCCGGAGCAGGGCTCCACAGTAGGTCCAGGGGAAGGGAAGGGGAGGAGGCCTTTTTGTAGTTTCTTAGGGAAATTCTGTCCGCTGCATTTCCCTTCTGACTGATGTAAAGTCCTTCTGTTTTTATCAGCAAGGACTGTGTTTGACCTGTCAGCAGGAACACCGCTGCTCCTGTGTACTGTACTGGACAGGAAGCTTCTGTTCGCTCACGTGAACTCAAATATGTTTCATGTATTTAAATATCTTTGTGTCATTAGTAAAGTTGAATAGCTTGTGGAAGCAGATTTTAAAAAATGGAATTTTACACATTTGGGGATAAATGGCATGGTAATTCGAATGACGAAATTCTCGTAGCTACATGACGAATTTAAAAGAAGTTAGTGGCTCACATTCTTATCAATTTTACTTGCATTTGTGTGCATCTCTTTTTGGAATGCGTTGTCAGGTTTGAGCTGTGTTTTTCAAATATTCTGGAGTAACTTGGGGATCTCCATTTTGCCTGTCCAAATTTTAATTGGCTACATTTGTTTTGTGTACTTTACTTTGCTATCCCAGCATACGGTTTAGTCTACTTGTGTTGCATAAAAGTCTAAGTGATTCTGCAATCGCTTAATGAAAAATATGATTGGTCAGGCTGACATGTCTGTCTCACATTTGACCGTTTGAATGAAAAGCAGATCAAGAGACTTAATGAGGGCCCCCTGTTGAAACTTGGAGACTGCAGCCCCTTTCTATGCCATTGACCCCGGAGAGAAACATGGTGTGTGATTGAGCATGTGCCTTGCTCTTGATTAAAGAGGATTAAAATAGTTTTGGGTCTGACATGAAGCAGGAAATGTTTTTTGGCGGTAGGATTATCCTCACTGCCCGCGAGAGGGGCTTACGCTTGTTCATGTATGTGCATGGTACTTCTGTGATTGAGGAGGACCAGTTTTATAAAAGGTCTGGGTTGCCCCCTCTGTAAATCTGATAGGAGGGATTCCATTTCTCCAGCGGCAGAGGTAATGTTGTCGTAGGAAATGTATTTATGCCGAGCAGGTGATTTACTCCACATGATTTGACTTACTGATGGCAGACTTGGGCAGCATAAACCACTGCGGCATCTGCAGTGCTTGAGCTTTCAGTCACTTGATCTGTAAGAACCAAATGACTGAGCTCATTAGCAAAAATGTTGGAAATGGAGCATTCAAATTGTTGTAACTATTTTGAAATGATGTAATGCTTGTTCTGTATTGATCCACTTCATTAGATAATTTTTGGAGGCGGTCAAACATTCTTGTGTGATTATTTTCAGGATAAATTAACATGTATTTTGAAACTACTCTTGTTTGAGTCGTTTAAAATAATTGCTTTAAAAATCCATGATGACAGCATGCATAATACAGCGTCTCCAAATACAGACTTTAGTAATGATGTAAAAAATCTCCAGCTTAAGGAACATGTTCTGACATCTAGATTTTCATAAAGAAATCACTGAATGTCTATCCTGCATTCGTTTCATTAGAAATTGTTTGGGAATAAACTAAAAAGTGCAAGAATGATTAGGCTTTGGTTGTTCTGACTCCGCACTGTCTGATGTCCTTTGCAGTACTTTAGTGAGGCAGTGCTATGTGATGATAATACCTGTAGAGCTTGTAACCACAAAATATATCAGTTCAAATCCCCTTAAAGCACTGATGTAGTAACCTCAGGTCTGATAATTGCATTTTCATGGTAGAAACGCCCATATAAATTGACAGTTTGTGAACTATGGAGAGAATTCTGCACTAATTAAGTGAGTAATGGTGCAGGTGTGTCTGTTTCTGCTCAGACAAACTCCCCCCAGCAGGCATTTCTGGACAGGCACATATGTAGGC